TTCCCCAGCCTGGATGATCTTTCTCTCTCCACCAAGAGTTCAAAGCATACATACTTTGTCAGGTCCCGGTCAATTCACTTTCTGGGAGTACCGCCCACCCCCCCATCAGAGTCAGTACCACCTTTTCACTTTTCTGCCAGCACATTGGTCATACATCTCTTTGGTACTTGTTAATTACTGTCAAGCATGGGGTAGTATCCTAGTGGCAGATCAAAGTGTGTCTTCCTTTGGGATTTGAACATTTCTGAGCATATGTATCATACTTGTGAGGTGAGCCTTTTAGGAGTCCATTTATCTAAGCGTTGGAGAAGTCTCAGGCACAAGGGATAAGGTTGGGTAAATACAGAATCAGAAACACATGCTTTGTGCAAAACACATTACCTTTGTGGTAGGAGGATGGATTTCCTTTATGAGTCCAGCCTTCCTCCTACCCCCATCCAGTTGTGTCTGAGATAGAAGGTGGTGGGATGTGGAAGAGGCTATAACTAAAACATCTGAAAACGGCTTTCATACAAACTCTCTGTGAGATTTCTCGGATAAGAAAGTAGTGTTGCTTGGAACTGACATACAGAGTAACACTGTGTGGACATGGTGTTATTCTAATGGCATAATTCAGCAAGTGCATCGGAACTGCAGAGATCACAGTCTGGCTTTAGTTCATCACAGGCTTTAGCAGAGAATCTTTGTATCTGAAGGCTGTAGATTCCTGGGTAAAGGGTTAAGCTCCGTGGAAAGAGAACCACAATTCCATATGCATACAGTGTATTGTAGATGGGCAAAATAGTATATCTCCCAAATGGATGCAATATTCTGTTTCAAATGTATGTAAACGCTATGATGAATACATACAAATTTATCAAAAGGATTACTAAATTCCTAGTAGCTTGTATCATTTTATATATTTGCAATTAACAGAAACTAAAATGTACTTATTTTTGAATAAATGCGGGTGAGTATGAAGATTTTTAGTGTTCGAAAGATGTTCTTATACTCACCAATGCTGGGAGGGGTGGAGTTAGTGACATCTGATGGTGGTTGCTCCCACTAGATGGATTAGCTCCATGAAGACTAGTACTGACTAATCTTTATCATTACATGCACAAACGTTGGTTCCTGGCATTTAGTAGATCAATATTGATGAATGAATAAGTGAATGAATGAATAATATTTGGGCTGACAAATGTCTATCCTTCTATCACTGCATCCTGACATGTTATATATTGATAGAACTCCAGGTATAAGCTAGTCTACATGAAAACAAACAAAAAGGTAAAAAAGAGAAAAGTCTACCAGTTTCAGTCAGTTGGTACATAAATACTATGGTAATTTATGTTTTTTTCAGTGATACAATCATGTGGATCAGCCCACATATGGTGTGTGAACTTGTTCCCACCCAATGAGTCAGTTGGGATGGGAATAATAATTTAATTTAGTGCACTTCACTTGTGAATTCACAATAAAACACCAATGTATGTTAGTTGCAAGAAAAAGGTGATCCATGTAATTTGAACTTTCTTTCACTAACTCTAAAGTGTGATTTGTAAAGAGTTTTGATTAAAAATGGAAAAACTCTGGTGAACTCTTCAAAGGGAGTAAATGATGTACTTGGGATGATTTTAATTAAATCATTTTACATAAAGCAGTGTCAGGTTGTGTGTGACATGAGCCAGGTCTCCTAATTGGCTTTCATCCATGGGCTAGAGATTTTGCTCCAAGCTCCATGGGTGAGATCAGTAAGGCAGTTTTTAAGTTTCACTTTTTCCTCACTTCTGGGACTGTCACCTCTCAGAAAATCAAGGCAGACCCTAATTTATAACATTCAATTTGCACTCATGCCATTGATGCATCATGGGAGAGGAAGTGGAATCATGAAATTCAAAGACTCCTAAGTTGTTCAAGCTGAAAGGGAGCTTAGAGATCATCACAGCCCAGTCTGTCCATTTTACTGACATACCTCAAAATATGAAGTGACTGGTATAAGTTCATATATCTAGTCAGTTCTAGAGTTGGGCCACCAAGCTTTATCCTGCCTCAAAACCTCTACTTGGCTGTAGTCTCCATTAAAAAAAACAAAAACAAACCCAAAACTCATCCAGGTTTTAGCTCCAATCCAATGATAACTCTTGACATTGGATGAGCTAATGATGCTCTATAAACATCTGCTTCATTCGCCCCTCTGGAGCCTCTTTCCATCTGCCCCAGGGAGGAAGTTGACCTTTAGGGACAACGTCTGTAGGCTCCATTGCCCTCTGGCTTCTGGTTGGGTTTGGCAGATGGGAGACTTGGCCAGGTATTGGCAGGCAGGAGGAGAGGAGGTCAGTGCCTTTGTTACTGTGGTGGCCTGGTAAGATGACTGCAAGTCATTGGTGGCTGTGTTCACTAGGGAAAACCACTGTTCCTGTGGGGAGACCCTCATTTAGCTGTAGCTTTCTCTTTGGGTTCTGGTAACTCTTCCCTTCCTTTGTCCAATTAGGCCTGGGGTAGTACTGACCCCACTTTCTATTAGCCCCAAGGTATTTCAATGTTCCTTATTGGTTTACCTTAATATTGCCCATAACTTCTAAACAGTCCCACTATTAAACCCTCCTGAATTACTCCATTAAGTATAAAATTGATTTCATGCTCGAACCCTGATTACTATACCCTATCCTCTATCGCCTTACTTTTTTTTCCCCCCATAGCACAAACTACAAGCTATAGTCACCTTTAAAAAATTTGTTTACTCATTTGTTATCTGGCTTTCCCTACCAGAATGTGTTTGCATGTCTTGGCACAGGGCCTGACACCTAGGAGGGACTCGATAAATGTTTGCTGAATGAATGGGTCCAGACTTACAAACTTTTAGTTAAAAATCTTTTGACAAATCACAATGAGAATAACCCTATAGAACTTTTAGGGATGAATCAATTTAATGGGGAATTTTAAATCATTTAAACTACAATATGGATTGTGTAGGATTTTTTGGCTGGTGGCTACTATTTAAACATATTGTTTCTATGGTAAAATGTACCCCAAATCAATCCATTATTTCCCATTAGATCGTAGTTTTATGAAGGCAGGGATCAGGTATATCTCATCCATGATTTGATGCCCTTGACTTTGCACACTGCCTGGTACAGAGGTAAGTTTTGCTTGTGCTGAAAGCACAGCAAAGCACTGGTCACCAGACTTGAAGATGCATAAAGCATGGTTTCTACCCTGAGAGGCCCGTAGTCCTACTGAAGTGACTGACACTCAAAGTCATGATGTAAGGCAATAGGTGATAAAATGGGGGCTGTGGGAGAGTGTTTCAGGATCACCGAGAAGGGAGAAAGGCCAGTGAACTCTTGACAGATGATCTGGTGGAGGGAGAAGGGGGCCTTTTAGGACTTTCCTCTTCTGAAACTGCTTTTTCAGTGACATTTGTTCAAAACTACAGATTCTAAAGTGAACCTTTGCAACCTGGGTTTTTAGAACCTGGGTATTTCATGTAAATACGAAGCTTTCCTACTTCTTGAAGTTGGTTTCATATTTTCCTTCTTTCATCCTTTTATTTTCTTCAGAAAAAAAAGTGAAAGAAGTAAAGGTCATTTTTGAATCTGAATTTTCTGAGTGTTGGCCATGTTCAAAAGATAGTAAAATGTGTTCAAAAGATGATAAAATCTGGTTATTCAAGAGTACTTTTTTAGAGTATCCTAAAACTTATCTGACATTGACTGCAGGAAAAAAAATTACAGGAAAAAAATTACGAGTAAATAAAAGAAAGAAAGAAAGAAAGAAAAACTTGTTATATTCCCCACCAGAGGGAGACAATTTTTTTCCTTTTGCCTTTCAAAACCTAAATTCCGATTAACACAGATTTGAAGAGTATAATACAAGGTTTACTAGGGCTGATTAATACATAGGGGAAAAACAAACTTACAATCTAATTTGTTTACTTTTGTCTTTTAATATCAAATTATTTTCAAGATCTAAGTTCTGTTCTGCCAGCACAGCAAATGCTACTGAACATGCGTGGAACTTTAAGAGCTACTTGTTATTTCAGTGTCGACTTTATCTCTAATTATATTAGTATGGATTCAGATAGGACACTGATAATATAACAACATGGAATAATTTAGCATAATTATTTCCTGTAGTCAGATGTTTACAAATCAACCCTAAACTAATAGAGACAAGGGGCATGGTGGTGGTGGAGGAGGGGAAACTGGGAACAATATGTTGCTTTCTATTGGCAAGAAGGTAGATGTTGGAATAAGATGAAATCCAGTTAGTCAATTTTTTTTTTTTTAAACATCTTTATTGGGGTATAATTGCTTTACAATGGTGTGTTAGTTTCTGCTTTATAACAAACAGTTAGTCAATTTTTAATATGCTGCAACTCTTTAAAAATTGGTGAAAGGAAATTCACTTACAGTAGTTGCTAATTGAGGAAAAATGATACATGAGCAATAGCTCCTATCTCTGCATATCTGTGCTTACAATAATTAAACATTTTATCAAAAATAGAGAAAATTGTCTAGAGATTTATAGTCTAAGACCTACTATACTTTTAAAAAGTCCAATTTCAGGGTTTCCCTGGTGGCGCCGTGGTTGAGAGTCCGCCTGCCGATGCAGGGGACACGGGTTCGTGCCCCGGTCTGGGAAGATCCCACATGCCGCGGAGCGGCTGGGCCCGTGAGCCATGGCCGCTGAGCCTGCGCGTCCGGAGCCTGTGCTCCGCAACGGGAGAGGCCACAACAGTGAGAGGTCCGAAAAGTCCAATTTCGTGCCCAATTTAATAGATAAAGCATTAGATCTACATGCAGTGTAACTCCTTGAACATTTCATTCTTCTCTATGGTTCTTTTTGAAAACCAGTTCAGATCTGACCTTGTGTAAATGTTTTTTAAATTACTCTGAAACATTTTACAAATCCAATTAGTGTGCGCAAATCTCAGCTCACCTCGTTTGACACAGGACGCTGCTGAGGCAGCCTTACTGCTTATTGTGATTCTTATTTACTTATTCTTTGTCACTTTCAGAATATGAATACGTACAGCTAAAACATGGAGTAATTCTCAGAAGCTCACATTCAAACATGGGATAATGTGGAGGCATCAGGTAAAATATTTGTCTGGTTAGGGGCATGAGTTTCTCATCATAATTCAGTGAAGGTAAATGGATGCTTTGGAAAAGCACACAGTGCCACTTAAGTTTCACTTGCCTCAGGTATCATTGAATCAGCAAGCACAGTTAACAATTCTGCTTTTCCATTTGTCAGGATCTCAATATTTTTTCAATATGAGGTCTGCTCCAGTGTACTTCACATGACACTTTATAATTAGTGGTACTTGAGAATTTAGCAGTTTTAAAAATTCATACAACATTCTTAGTTACAATTTATAAATAATTTTAAAGTATAATTAACATTCATCTTTACAAGTTATATGCAAACATATGCAAATTTAGAAATAAATATGCAAACATATAAAATGTTTTTGAATTAAGTAGTCCTTAACATTTTTGATGAAATGAATATTTTATTCATATTTTGCACACAATTTTGAGTACTTACTGATTTGAGGGCTACAGCATATAGGTTTTTGAATATTGCAACCTCTAGTAGCAACAGGAGGGAAATGAGAATGTGTTCCTTTTTGATGAAAACTGAAAGGATGATCTAGCAGACGAATCTAAAGGTGCTGTCTAGTGGATTATTGATGCAATCAGTGGCCTTTTTGCTCCGTGAACTCTTAACTCTACAAGGAACCTCAACTTCCTTAGATGAGACAAACCTGTTTGGATCTCAGAAAGATAAAGTTGAGGACACCAACAAAGCACCCCCAGCTTCTTGAATTGGTGACTAATACAGGCTAATAAGCTGAGTTGTGAACTATGAATTTTTAATGTACTAAAGTCTGAAAGGAGAAGAATGCAGGGTTCAATATGAGACGAACAAAGGATTACGGGAGAAAATGCAGCTTTGTTGGAGAAGTTACTCAGTGAGTATAGATTCATTAGGTTTACTTATAATTTTAAAAAAGTCTCTTCAAAAGGTTAACTGATTCAAAATCTGAGTTCACTCATTCAACAAGCACTCATCTTTCAAGGCTCAGCTTCTGTTCCTCCTCTTCATGGCAAATTTCTCACTACTAGGCTCTTCCTTCTCTGAATTCATATTGCATTATAAGTCAATCATGCAAAGGTTTTTATGTGCTCATTATGGGCAAGGATTATACCCAGTGCTATTGGACATACAAAGAAGTATGAGTTAATCAGTTAGCACCACACAGTTTAGCTCTAAAATGTTCTTCCATTTTTACAGATATGCATGCTTTATTATTTTTTTAAACGGCAAATTTCTTGAGGTAAAAGAACATCATTTATACAAGAGATGATGAGGATTTATTCCGAGTGGCATCTCTGATGAATTCATGGTTGTTCACTGGAATGTTGTGTAAAGAAAGATTCTGAGGTTGTGTCATTAGCAATACCAGCACAGCCATGTTTTTATTATCCTTGCTCAACTTAGAATCTTTTTTCATTAGCATTTCTTTCATTAGAGAATGAGAGCTTTATGATCCATTTAATTTTCCTTTTAGATGCTAGAAACTCAGGGGGAAGTTTTGATATAATTTCCTCCTCCTTTATTACTTGATTTTTTCTCTTATTTTGTGGACTATGTTACTGTAATTTGTTTTAAACAGCCAGTTGCTTTAAATCTTTTTGAAGGAAATAGATAACTACATATGCTTCTTTCTATAAACTTCGTGGCACCTAGCGTAGGTCCAGGGCCCTAAGGAGGCATAGAATATATGCATTTTGATTGAGTGGAGAACACTGAACTTGATGCTGTGAGAGTCTCATATGGTAGATGTACAATGATGCGTGAATGAGTGAGTGAATGAATGAATGAGTTCAGAGGGAATTTAAACCCTGAGAAAGATGATGATGAGATGTGATTTACTTAGGAAAGCATTGGACTGGAGATGAATCTTGGCTAATGCCTTTAAAAAAAGCATAGACTAAAGATTGGAACAGGAGGAAATGACTTGGAGGAGAATAAAGATTTAGCCAGAAGAATTAAAAATGACAAGAGCCATAATGCAATAATATTTGACTCTTCTATGTGGACCTACTGGCTTGGGTGGAATGTAAGATTTTAGAGAGAAAGTATTTTTAAAAAATTCAGGCCACATTAGTGTAGCCTTCCACAAGGTATTTCCAGGGTGCTTTGTTGAGGTTGTTTGATGATGAAGATGATCCTGCTACCTACATTTATTTCAAATTCAAAAAATAAAAGATACAGGGTGTGATGATTTAAGCTTGCTGATCTAGGGTAAAATAATTCATTTAGATGCATAACAAATTAATCTTCCTTCATAGACTCAGAATAAGCAATCGAAATTCTGTTTTGCTGCAAGCTGCTCCAGAATGTCTGTGGGGACTGGTTTTGTTTATTTGCTGCTATACGACAGTCTTAGGTAAACAACATATAGCTCTATCTATGTGCATCTGGGTAGGCTTCAACATTTTTATTATGCAACTTAAACATGAAAAAGCCCGATCTGCCGCATTAGCAAAATAGCTAAATCTCATTCAGTGTAAAACAAACCCCTACCACCTTCCTGTCAAGTAAACTTGGTCTTTAAAGTCTGTCCCTGCACAATCAGTCTCTTCCATATGCCTTTCATTCTTCCCTTATTCTAGGTTTTTTTTCTCAATGTTTTGTTTCTCTGGGCTGAATTTCATCTCAGTTGATTGCCCAATTCACTTTTCATTCAGTCATAATTGTTTTTTGAATTGTCTTAAATTCTCAAATGGATTATGACAATTTGAAAATTAACAATGGCGCCTTAATTGCATGGAGCTGTGTGATCCACAAAACCCTGCTGGCTGATGCTTTTCCCCCCACCTGTAATTTTTTTTAACCAAATGTGAAAAGGTAGAAACACACACACAAAAGCAGAAAATACATATGGTCGTGATTTATAAAAATGCTTGCTTTTCCAATATTTAGAATTCAATCACTGATACCTACAAAATCATTTAAATACAGGAATTAATAAAAAATTCATTCAGGTTTTCTTTCAAACTTAGTTTTTTCTCTTGTGGAAGTAGGAACATAGGCAAGCAGGACATTTTCTGTATGCGTATAGACATTAAAATTCAGGAAAATATCATTATTCTTTAATTATCTGACTTCAGTTGGGCTTTCAATGCAGCTTGGCAATCCTCTTACTTGTCCCTGGTTGGCTTCCTCTAGAATTCTTCATGAGGCATCTGTTCCAAACCTTTAAACCTGTGTCATTCTTCTCATCCTCATGAGAAGACCCATTCTCAGTCTTTAGCCTTACTCCATAATATACAGAAAACAGAGCAGTTTCTGAGCAGTCTCATTGGATTTTCCTCGCTTCTACCTGCAGACTCATCTACAGAAGCACACATATTTTAACTTCTTTTTCTCTTAGTCTTGAAGGAAGATGGTTGTACCTTCATTCTAATACTAACCTTCTGGGTGCACTCGATTCTGCCTCCTCTGTCCTCTCCTCTAGAGGCCAATCTCTTTCTTTCCCTCTCCTCTGCTTCCCTCTCTTCAGCCTACAGACATGGTCAAGTCTGGTCTTTACCATCTACTACCACGTTAACCTCCCCCACCTCCCTTCTTGTCTTATCTACTCTTGGCCCTCTGGGTTCAGCCAGCTCTCTTTTCCATCTATAGCTGCTGCCCCCCCCCCCCCCCCCCCTCCCCGTGTATTGGGTGTTAGGAAAAGTAGATCATACCTATTCTAGGTAAACACCTGGGAGCTCTTGACCATTTACTCTCCTTTTCTACCTCATCATCCTTGTTCTCTCTTTCCTCATTCTTAACCCTGCCTTTAGAGAGCTGTTTCTGGGTCTTCAATTTTTGGTCTTGTGTGTTTCCCTGGTTGTAACTTTCATGTACCTCCTCATTTATCCTAATCTGACCCAGTGGGCCGAAGTTTGGCCCTTTCTACCAGGGAAGGGGGTTTCAGACGTTTTCCTGGACTATGAAGCACTTTGAAAGCATGGTCTCTACTTCCTCAGCTCCCACTCACCTCTCATCCCATTTAACCACCTGGTCTTGCTAAGGTTACTGATGACTTCCTGATTGCTAGATCCAGTGGTCCATTTCCAGTTTTCAACATTTTATCAGCTTTTAACACTGTTGACTCTTTTGACTTTTTGATGCTTTCCCTCCACTGGCTTCCAGAACACCAATCCGTATACATATCTTTACTGAGCACCTACTGCTCTGATATTTGAGATAAAAAGGGAATAATACATGTCTTCTGCCTCCAAGTATATTACAGTGTAGGGGAGAAGAAAGGAAAGTACATAGGCAAGTACAAATCAGGAAATAAAGTCTACACATAGAAGAGTACTCATCCCTGTACCCATAAGGCCAAAGAGGACTTTACTTCTTTCTACTGGATGGGGCCATGGGTGAGAGTTCCAGGAAGAAGGAGTAGTATACACCAAGGTACAAAGGAGAGAGAACATGAATGTTCACATAACTTCAAGAAGTTCTGTGTGGTTGGAACAGAGGGTTTAGTATGTGTGTTGTGAGAAATGGAGCTGGAGAGAGCAGGGTCCAGATCATGCAAGGCTACATGAGCCATTTTAAAGAGTTTGGAAATTATGTAAAGACAGTGAGAAGCTGCTGAAAAGTATTATACAGAGGAGTGACATGATCAGAATCACAGTTTAGAGATATCACTCTGGTTGTTGAGTAGGTAATGAATTGGGTGATGGTAAGAATGGTGACAGAGAGATTGGTCAAAATGCTGTGGCAGAAATCTAGGCCAGATGGTCCTGTCTCAATACAGGATGATATTACATAGTACCATTGGGGAATGGTAATATGGATAGAAAAAGGTGAAAAGAAGTGATGGTTTTAGTGATATTAAGGAGAAATAATGGAAAAGACTTGGTAATTGATTGAACTATCCCCTGTAATTGTCTTCAGTTCCTTGCTATCCCATCATGGCATTCTTACCTACAGAAATTATAGCACTTCTCACATTTTAGTTTACTTTTCTATTATAGGATCTGTTACTAGGACCCTGTCTGATTAATCTCTATCTCCATTGCTCAGC